TGTCCCAAATATATAGGCTTGTTTCCTAATGTAGAATATTTTATTGTGTTCTTTTACTAATATATCCTTATTAAATTTTCCCCACTTAATATGCAAACTTCTTGAAAATTCAAATTCTTTATGAATTCCAACAATAATTTAGTTTTACCCACTGAAAATTAAATAGGGGTAAACTAGGAAAGATCTTGGCAAAAATTAATTTTCCAATGACATTAAATAAGTTTTCTTAATCAGTGTGAAAAACCAAACAAGCCTATATAATTGGGACGGAGGGAGTATTTAAAACTCTATTTTTTCTCCCATAATGGGAGACAAACAAGGGCTTAACTTGATGAATCTTAGTCCACATGAATTTAGAGTTATTATAGATGAATTTATTTTCATTCATGTATCATGGAATTTTAATTAAAGGATGTTTAAATTCATATATTAGCAACTAATTCTTATGTACCTAGTGTAGTATAAAAATGTTCATTTGTAATATTTCATCATCACAAAAAAATTGATTAATAGAAGTTGAGTTTTGAGAGTACAATTTTTTTTTTTTAAATTTTTATCCTAAATTTTATTTTATTTAATTCGTTTAAGACTCATCAAATCCTCCAAACAAATTGATATTAAATATTGTTTTTATAGCACTTATAAAGTATTTTAGAATACTGTGCAATGCACGTTCAACTCTGACTAGTGTTCATTAAAGTGTGATGTTGCCTATTATGCCCCTTTTTGACACCCATTTTTTTCTCATTCTATTTCTCAGTTTTCATTTCAATCACACATTCTATTAATAAAATAATATACACATAAACCCAAAAATTCTCCTTACTTTTTAACCACACAATCTTCCATCAATCATCAAAAATTATTTTTCAAACAAAATGGGTGTCAAACTGGGGCTAAATGCTTATTTCATTTTCTTTAGTTAAATGAAAACGAGTGGTTGTTGAGTCTCAAACTAGGAAGTTAAACCCAACCAATCATGTTGTGGAAATCTCTTTAGGAGACATGATGGCGCACCGGATATTGTTGTTTGTTGAACTTCTAAGCAAGTGGGGACGTAAGTTTAGATTTATTATTTTATTAGCGATCCCATTATTATTATTATCTCAACACAATATCTTCTTTTAACAAGCAGGAAGATGGTAACACATTTTTGACACTTACATACATTACATTTTGATTTTTCCCCCTTTCCGAAAAGATGACGTGTCAAAGTGTCAAGAAATTATCGAAAAAACAACAAGTTCAAGACATCAAATCTCAACTCATGGAGATGTAACAACTTCATCCAAAATAAAATTAGATATTAACATTGATAGAAGTTCGTTAATTTGTTTGACACGTCAAATTAGATAATATATATGATTGAATACACATTACTTCAAGAGTGCCCTATAATTCGCACGTCGTTGTCACCTCTCTCTCTCTCCCTCCTCCATTTTTTTTTTCCGTAAAATTTTATTGAAGGCAATATGGGGACCCTATCATTACAAATGATAAAAGGATGAACAATGCTAGAGTTACATCAATTTGACAGCCCTCTCATACATTTGGTGGGGTCCACGATTAAAATAATCATGAGCCCCATCCATGAGAGAGGGCTAATTTTGACTGTACATTAAGCATTTTTGTAAAAGGATAGGGTAGATTCCTGAAGTGGCGCCTCGTGAATGTCAACAACGCCCTTTACTATTCGGCAAGAACTTCTATTTTTAGTTAGATAATTGATAAACAAGGGCGGCTTGTATGGCAATGAAATGTCGAAAATGCCCCTAAATGTAATTGCGTAGTACAGAGAGCTTGAAAATAGCCACAGCGGTGCATAACACCAATCTATGTGGTAGTGATCCTTGCCCAGTAAAATTAGAATACATTTTTATGCATCGAACACTGATAATGACCCTACATTCTCATATACAACTTTTTTTTCTCTACAAAATGTGCTTGCAAGTCCGCATTAAATTCCAATCGTAAGGAGTGTTATATATCATCGAGACTTCAACAGGGTTGCAGTTTTAAAAAAGAAAATAGAATGGTGCGTTCAAACTTCGGAATGGATCATCCTAAATTCTTCAATTTCCGTGTTGAGATAAAGAGTTCAGTGTTAATACTAAACAAGTTGGGTCACTCATTTATGAGTGTTTTCTTAATAACAGTCCACTACTATTGCTAAGTTTGGAGATTGTAAAACAATAAGAGAACTAGCAAAACCGGAAGGGAACCTCGATCATGGCCCGGACTCCAAAGCAAAAGGCCGTAGTAAGGAATTTTCTCAATTAGGCGCTCATAACCGGTACGTCGGAACTTCCAAGCAGGCACTTAGAGTTCGACCTGTTGCACGCTGCACGCATGCACTTGCACACAAGTACATAATAAAAATATGACAGCAATTCAATTCACTTATATGGTCCACATTTAACTGAGGCCAGAAAGAGAGTGGCATTGTGCTTTGATATGCTAAAATTAATTTAAATTGAACTAAAATTCTAGAACTGATACGACTCAGTCAAACTAATGACCATTATAAGTAGATCGAGAAAAAGGTAAATTCAGAGGAGCTTCCTTCCTTCCTCATATACAACACAACACATAAACCCAAGATATATCGTGCACATCAATTTGGAGATTAGTAAATGTGCGATACACTATCAAAACCGAAGCCAAGAAAGCATAGTAAATTTTTTCCTTGGAAAACAAACGAAAAGGTAAACAGGCTTTCATGATAATGTTAAATCACACAAGGTATTCTCCAGAAATGAGGCCAGGCAGGGAGATTGTTAAAAAGATAAATGAAAAAACTCAATACCACGTCCTCAAAAACTGTCAAACCTTTCACAGTATTTTCTTTATTTTCATCATTGTTGGACAAGGGTATACGAGGCTGCACAAGATTTGTTGGATCAGCCCTCCAGTGCTGATGCTCCAGATATAATCTCTATCAGCTCTGTAGTGATAGATGCTTGACGGGTTCTGAAAGAAAATAAAAGTAAAGACCAATCAAATTGGAGAACAAGAAGTACACAGGAAAAACGTTTATCATATTTCTATCCCATCCCCCCGATGGATCAAAAATCAAATAAGCATCATGAACATGATTTGGGCATCCGAATCATTTGGTCAAGTGTACCTGTTATAAGTAAGAGTGAGGCGATCAAGCATTTCTCCTGCATTTCTGCTGGAGCTGTCCATTGCAGACATTCTGGCTCCTTGCTCACTGCAAGCATTTTCTAGGACGGCATTGAACATAACCTGAAGAAAACATTAAAACTGTCTCAAACTTGACGGAAAGCTATGACGAGAACTAGTTCCCAAGGCGACCTTTCCAATCAATATATAAAATGCAATCAGAAAGGTATATCATACACAGGAAAAAAAGGATGTTGGCTAGATTTTGAAGCTCTGTGGCTTTCATAGTAGATGGGATTAAGCACAAGTTAGATCCTAAGTTTTATCTTTCCGACAAATATATAACAATCAATCAGAAAGTTCAAACATACACAGGAAAACTGGAATTCTGTGAGATTCTGCAGTACTTCTGACTTTGTTTCACCTCCTTCAATTTCGTAGGAGTCTAATTCCCCAAGTTTTCCCCCAGATTCAGCTTCTTTCTCAACAACCTATACCAGCATTGCAGCAAATTAGAATCTACAATTTACAGCAGTCACTAAAATGCTTGTTTCAGTAAATTAAGTTGATGTTATCAATGACCTCGGGAGATAACACAGTTGCTGTTGTTGGCAGAAAAGAGACAACGGATTGGAACTTGTTGAAAACAATCCTCAATGCATCATACTCTACATTCTTTAAGATGTCATCTGCAAGCACAGAAACCTGCAATGGCAACAATAGGACATTAAAAAAAAATGTCAAAAAGATAGTATAAACAGTTGAAATTCCTGCAGATTAATACGCTGTTTGCTTAGCAATTAAGTTTCTTCAGCAAGCCTTTTTAGTCCGTCAATCAGACTGGACACTAAAATAGAGACCAAACAGAGATTCTAGTTCCTATTGCCACCAGAATTTGGTCCTAATCTAGTAAAGTGAATGCAGACGTCAACAAAGATTTTATACATATTACTAAATATTATAAAAAAATAATAGGAATTAGGACACCAGTGGGGTCACTAGAGGATCATGTTGTCCCAAAGAGTTATTGTTTAATTATATAGGTTTGATTATTTACAAGGAGGAATTTAAGAGGATGTAATAAATATAAATTGAGGACAAAAATGCTAGTGAGTGTTGATTTCTTTAAAGACAAAAATGTCCACAAGATGAACATAATAGAAATTAAGATGCTAAGATGGATGGGTGGACATTATAGAATGGATAAGCGAAGAAATGAGAACATATGCCAACAAGTGGATGTAACACTGACCAAGGGTATTATAAGGGCATGACAATTTAGGTGGTTGGGCTATTTTTTTTTTTTTGTAGACTTGAAGGAAACTCCTGATAATAAGAGTGATGTGATCTCGTCGAACAGGTTAGAAGAGTGAGTGAGTGGAAGACTAACACTAACACGGTCTCTGTGGTTGCGAACAATGTAGTTGTATTGGAACTTCCAGTAAATGTAGTAATGAACGAGAACTCACTAATAAAAAGATTCATGTATTAAAAATAAGGCTTATTTTGTTATTGGAATGCACAATGCCACAAGTGGGGCTGCAAATGAATACAACAGTGTAATCAGCTTGTTTTGGTTGGCCAATATGCTTATTTAGGTTCGTTCCTCAAACCAAATTTATCAACTGTATCTCTTGTTTCAAACAAAAATGAGCACAAATACCCGCATTTGGCTAATCATTCTTTGTACTCAACCTTCGTGATCCAGAGGATAGCAGATTGTCTAAGACCATGTTTGGCATTTATTATAAGCTTTGGGACTCACAAACAGTGTGGACCAAAATAAGCACAACTGTGAGGCCCACAGCTTATAAGCAAAATAAGTCCAACATGGCCTAAATTCATTTACCTCCAAACAATATCATATTCTAAAACAAATGTAAACAAGTAAATTAGACTGAGGAAAAAAATTCTATAGCATGTCAAGGTGTACCAATGACTTTTGTCTAAAAGCAATACTCAATGACGTATTCAGGTTTCCATTTTAATCAAAGATCAAACATCGTAAGCTAATCAAGTATGAGCTCTGCGAACGTCAAGTCTGGCTGACTTCAGCTATTCTCCAACTATTCAACCTAACAATAACTAAGCCTCTTACTAGAAGTTGGAAAGATAAGGACTTTGAGCATTCTACAAAAATTGTAGCAGCATTTTCCACAATACAATCAGGGTGGAAATTGGACGGGGATTGGGGTGCGGGGAGTCTTTGGTATTCATCAAGCAAATCTGTTCAGAAGACAACCTGAGTATAGTTTAGAGGATTCTTCTGCAACTCAGTTATAATTAACTCAATGTCATTCTTGGAGTCTCGCACAAGTTGGACCTTGGCCTTCTCTCCCAAAATGACATATTTACTTTCCTGGTCGGGACCTGTGAAGAGAACAAATAAAATTTATGAAAGCAATGATCAAATATGAAAAAAAAAAGCTCAGTGCAATGGCAAACTTATAACGTACCTGAATTTAACTTTCGAATACCCCTGCTTATCTTGACTGATGTAGAATTAATACCACCACAAAGACCTTTATCTGAAGAAATTGTAACAATAACATTCTTCTTGACATCAACACCTAATGCATTAGAACGCAACGAAAGGTAAGTCTCAGAAGAGAGAAGAGAAAATTTAATTGTTGAAGATGAAAATGATGTTACACTTACGTTAATTCAATAAGATCTATGAAGTAACAAAAAAGTCAGCATTCTTTTGAAAAGCTATACACACTCTAAAAAGAATACCCAAGAGGCATCAAAGGCAACTGAACAAGATTTCAACTAAATCTCGATGATCTTCATGAGAAGGTTAAGGCCACCAAATAAAATAGCCCTAATCATCCACCTTATCCAGTAATGATTCATTATCTTAGATTTCCCTGCAGAGTTTGTCTTTGTATTTTATTATATACCTCGTTAATTTTCACACGAAAAAATACGCCATTTGAAGATATCTGTTAGCTTAAACACAAATCCATAAAAGAATAACAAGTTCTGTAAATGAAACACATTCTCCCAGTTTTTTTCTTCTCTCTTTTTATATAATTCCATTTCATTAAAAACACCATGTGCTCCAAAATCCGTTATATTTCACTAATACAAGGGTTAAAAAAAAAAAAGAAAACAAAAGGCATACAGTACAGGTCCCAAAGTGAAGTCACCTCGTAAGAGCTAGAACATCTGATCTTTGTGGTCTAAATATTTATTTTTTAACTACACCTAAGGTACAAGGGCTGAAAATTGAATTTCAATAGGAAACAAAAAGCTAGTTTCAGAAAACAAAAGAAAAAGCTACTACAATGTTTAACGTGGTCAGGGTATGCTTACAGTAGGGACAACAACAAAAATACAAGGATTTTTGGTGTTGAAAGTGAATAATTAAAAATTATACAAGGAGAGTAAAGTATGCTAAGAGCTTGTGGAAGTAGGGGGCATAAGATAATAAAACCTCAGTAGAACTGGAACATAATCAGAATTTATTAATGAACTTACTTGGAGTGTCACCGAGAAGAGCAGTGAATGGCTGCCATAACCCACGGGAGTTTTCAGCTTTAGTTTGAATTGCTCGAAGCTTTGAGGCTGCAACCATCTTCATTGCCTTAGTTATTTTCTGAATGTTCCTAACACTCTTCATACGGTTGCGGACTGCAGATATGTATCATGACCATAAACATTAATCCTCACTTAGTGATTTGAGGAGCAGTAATTGTGTAAAACTAAACAAGATTATAAATATAAGGAATATAACGAACTTGGCACCTATAGATTCAATAATGCTGCTTACCGATTTGAGTTGAAATAGAACGAACTCCCAATAAAGCTTGCTCCCTATTGACACATGTTAATTTACTTAGAAACAATGAAATTAAAACACAATGATATATGAAAACTAAGATGACATACAAACTTGCAGAAGCAAAAGAGGTACTGGGCAGGAAAAATAAATAACCAAACCACCACACATGAAAATTCATTGATTTGTGAGGCACGTGTTGGGGATGATTGCCTATGATAATGAAAGATAGCAAAACTTGGACACAAAGATTTCACTTAAGAAATAATGTGGCTTTACTATAAAATGGAAATAGAGGATTCCAAGATGAATTTCAAAGAGGAGTTACAAAATATCTCGAACTCTCACTTTCTCTCAATAACTAGCTCTATCTTTCTCATGAAATCTACAACACGATTTGGTTTGAACTTTGCCGAACCCGTGAAATTGCTCATTGCCACAACTAAAGGATTCCAACTCAAGGGAAGACTTATAATAATGCCAATGCTTTGACCTCGTCGTCAAATGAGATATCAACCAATTCCAACTAACTCGTAAGTATTGAAATTGTTGATGCAACTCCTCCCTCGGACATCTTCAAGTTGAACAGCTTCTTGATATGTTGAACTTTATTTGTTGCAGAGAGCTTCTGTTGGATATTAAGTGTAAAAGAATAGAGAAATCAACATAGATATTTAACATTGTTCGACAATGTGCCTACGTCCACAAGGAGCGAAACATAGATTTTAATCAGTATGAATCATAGGCTTACATCATTAGTATTTATACTAATCCTAGCACAAGCCCAAGCCCATACAAGACTTTAGGGCCCGTACAAGAAAATACACCTGTATCGACATCGGCCATTTTGATCAGTAAACTTGTGTTCCATTCAAGCCTATTTATAAATATTGTAAAGCGGTCTATATAGCTGTGTATTGCAGGCCACTTAACAAAATACAGCTCGCATTCCTCCTTTTAAAAAGACGAGAAGTCAAATATGACATTGACCATCCAATAGGCTTTCTCTTCTTGCTTGTTAGGTAGCATTACTTATTTGACCAGACATTGAATTTTAGTTCTTATGTATTATTGCCCAGGATAATGAAAGAGAGCAAAACTTGGACACAAATATTTCACTCCAAAAATAGTGCAGCTTTACTATAAAGTAAGATCATAGGATTACAAGATGAGTTTCAAAGAAGAGTTGCAAAGTATCTCAAACTCTCTCTCTCTCAATAAAAAACTCTTATCTTTCTCAAATCCTCAATGTTCAAATATTTCAGCACACAGTCATAGAAAACACACTATGAATGAAACACATCAAAGCCTATTTATAGATGTCGTGAGGTGGCCTGTATAGCTGTGCATTGTTGGCCACTCAACAACATAAAATGCACATTCCTCCTTTTAAAAAGATGAAAAGTTAAACATGACTTTGACCATCCAATAGTCTCTCTTCTTGCTTAGTAGCATTACCTGTTTGATCAGTCATTGAATTCTTCTTATCCTCTAAGAAGTAAAATTAAACTTTGTCTCCACATCTATCAATTGCCGACCTTATCCTCTAAGAAGTAAAATTAAACTTTGTGATGTAGTACATAATCATGATTAATAGTTTCCTACTATAATTATGATCTATCTTTTCTAGTTCTAATCTTTTATATTTTTATTATTTTATTGATTAGAATATGATTTCTAATTAGATTAGAATTTTAGTTTATTTCCTTTTAGAATTTAGTTTCCTTATATTAATAGGATTAGTGAATAGTTTTGCCTATAAATACAAAAGCATTGTACAATTTTCAACAACAATCAATTATTATTTAATATATACAAGACATGATTGTTCAAATATCATTCTTATTTATTACATAATTCTTATTACAAGAATTTCTGAAACGCTTCCGCACCAAAATTGGTATCAGAGTAAGGAAATTGCCTCAATCTGATGGTCGACGATGGTCTTGGTGGCAGTCGAACCGTCGACGACGAACGGCGGCTCGACAAACTCGAACAACAAATCAAGGGGATCGATGAAACCCTTCATAACATCACGTGGATGGTGACTACGTTGAATCTTGAAAGGAATCGCGAATCCATGGAAAAACAAGTTAACAAGAATTTGCAGACTTTAACTGCTATGAATGTTGGTTGCTTCAACAAGATTAAAATACGGCAACAGGTGGTTAGAGAGTTTCCTCAAATCCCAGCTAAATTTGAATACACAAGTTATCAAGGATTCTACGAAAGTTGAGTCCAATTTGAAGTGCGACAATTTTTTTAAAACACGATGCACCATCAACAACAAAGTATGCAAAGTGATAATTCATAAAAGTAGTCAGAACTTGGTGTCCAAAGCATTGGTGAAAGCTTTAAATTTGAAAACTGAAAAATATTCATCGTGCTATCAAGCTTCACAGGGGCAAGAAACTCAAAATATGGAGGTATGTAAAATTTCCCCTTCTCTTGGAAAGTACTACAAAGATGAGATTATATGTAACGTGGTAGAGATGGACAATTGTCATTACTTTGGGGACAACCATGGCACTATGATATAGATGCCACTTATATAGGTCGACCTAATAGATGTGTTTACGTGGTACGATAAAAAGATTATCTTGGTGTCATGTGATGAGCAATTTGTGAACGACAAAGAGAAAAATGCTTATAAGGCAGATGATGAGACTAAAAAAGAAGTAATTCAAGATAATCAATATGTTACTAACCATGTTACTAAAACAGAAACTTATCAAAAAAAATGTTACTAAAACAGAAAAAGAAAAGCTTGTGCAAGTTGAAAATCCGAGACTTGTTGATTCCTTATGTATGGAAACTACAATTGAAAACTTCAAGATCGAGCCGCACTTCAAGGATGAACAAGTTGAAGATCAAAAGTGTCCAACAGGAAAGGAAGAAATTAAATTTTGCAATCAAGAAGGAGTCAAATGTAAAGATTGTCAAATTAAGAATAAAAATTTTGTTGACATTTTCTACAGCTTTAATGTCGAAGAACTGCATAAAAAGAAGGAAAACATGGACGATGAGAATTTGAGTCTGAGTATCAATTCTTTTGTGTTGAAGAACGCATCACTAAACATTACAACAAAAGGTGAGAAGTACGAAGAATTGAAAATAGCACAAGTGGCCTCTATCGAGAGCGATCTCAATGATGAGAAATCAAATCATGCTTCGTTTATGAAGGAATGTCATTTGCGAATTATCCATGAAGAAAATATAACAAGCATGATAGGAACAAAATTGACTTTGAAGAATGCAACTGAAAAATATAATGAAGTTTATCGAGCACATCAAGAAATTGTCATTTTTTTCAATATCGGTATTTGTAGAAATTAGTATTTTCCTCCCGATTGATTATTTTTCTTAAAGAAAACTCAAGGACGAGTTTTATTCAAGTGGAGGTGATTGATGTAGTACATAATCATGATTAGTAGTTTCCTACTATAATTGTGATCTATCTTTTTATTAATTTATTGATTAGAATATGATTTCTAATTATAATAAGATTTTAGCTTATTTCCTTTTAGAATTTAGTGTCCATATATTAATAGGATTAGTGAATAGTTTTGTCTATAAATACAAAGACATTGTACACTTTTCAACAACAATCAATTATTATTTAATATGCACAAGACATGATTGTTCAAATATCATTCTTATTTATTATATAATTCTTATTACAAGAATTTTTTAAACGCTTTCGCACCACTTTGTCTCCATCTCAATGAATCTCCCACTTGGAGACAAATACCAAGCTCCAGTTGTAATGACCCAAATTTTTTTCCATTTGGAATCATTATACATGTACCGTAAAAGAATACTTTCATAAACAAAAGAAAAACATAATATTTTCTTAAAATGCGATGATTTAAAATTAGTTTTAAAAAAAATAAAATAAACATTATTAAAATCCTTAACTATATAATTTATTCTTCATTTTTCACCCACGCAAGCACAATCCACCTCCGATAGCCTCTAACCCGCCTTTTTAATTGCCCATAAAATATTTAACATATACACATGAGACAAATATCAGTAAATGAGTAATAATGAATTGCATATCATATTTAAATACGGAAAATCATAACATACAAATGGAGACACGAGAATTAAAATCCGAACTTAGTGGCAATAATTCTCGTGCGTAGCGCTACTAAACTTTGGTCATTTGAACTTACACATATGACCCATATCTTAATCATAACTTGGATTTCCATGTCATCATATTCATAACATAAATTTCCGTAATTCAGATATTGAAAGAACAATTTGTACTACTACATTTAGAGTTGTATGGAAGAAGATAAAAGGTAAATCGAGGAAATTGTCTTGTTAGACTTTCACTTTAAAATTCCTTGGACACCGTGCGTGCTAAATTTTGTAACGTGAAAATGTGTATGTGGAAGATAAGTTAAAAGAAAGAGAGATGTAAAGTACAAGATGTGAATGTAAGTGATGTGAGGTATAAATAGGAGTCTCTAAGGTTTGACCCCATTACTTATTTTTGGCACCAACATTCATTCCCTTGTTAATGTCGCATGTTTTTCCATATATAGTGTAATCAATCACTCAACTAATTACCCAATTAACTATATTAATAAATATATAATTGCTACTAATAAGGTATTGTCATATAATAAAACATTTGATTTAAATNGGTATTGCCATATATTAAACATTTGATTTAAATTTACCAATATATATAGACACAAACTCTATATAGCTATGTATATATATGTATATAAGAATTAAATCCTCATAATTTATGCCAAGTTACCTAATTCACATTTAATCAAAGTAGAAATTAAGTTACTTTCCATAATCTAAATACGACAATCCCATAATCTCTTTCTTATCTAAGCATGGCAATTCCATGATAATTTCTTTACCAAAATTTGAAATTCAAAAAGCGCAATTAGGTCCTTCAACTATGTAAAGTTATCAATTTGGTCATTTAGCTTTCGTCAAGGACTATACAAAAACTTTCGGGATATTATAGCAATGACTCCGCCTTGATCCTCAAGCACGAAGACCAACTGACATTGAACAAGACTTCATGGCATTTAATATCAATATGTTCCATTCTTGAGTGCAACGCAGAACTCTTTCCAAAATGTATAGCACTTTGATGATCGCTATACAACTTGTAATGATCAAGATTCTTGCCCATTTCACTCAAGAAATTTTGAAACCATACCATTTCCTTGCAAGCTTCTATCATTGCTACATACTCTACTTCTGTGTAGAAATGGTTATAATCTTTTGTAACTGAGAGACCTAGATAATTGCAACACATTCAAGAGTAAACATATAGTCAATTGTACTCTTTCTACTATCAATTTCTCCTGCAAAATCAAAATCAACACATCCATATAAGCTTATCTTTGAGTCACCATCCGAGTACCCTTAAGATATCGCAATATCCACTTGCCAGCTTCCCAATGTTCCTTACTATGATTATTCACGAATCTACTAACAATCCTAGAACGTGCTAGAAGTATGAGGATTAATTCTGGTTTACCAAAGCAGTTTTGGGCAAATGCAGTAAGCACAACTACTTATCTAATCAATAGAGGTCCTTCAGTTCCCTTGAATTATGGAATCCCAAAGGAGGCTTGGACCGGAAAAAAGGTGAACTTATCCTATGTAAGAATATTTAGTTGCATCTCTTATGTTCACATTGAGCCTAAGAATGGGAATAAGCTTGATCCTAAGTCTCGTAGATTCATCTTTATTGATTATGGCCCCGATAATTATGGTTATCGATTTTGAGATTATGAAAATCGAAAAATAATTAGGAGCATTGATGTTGTGTTCAATGAGTATCATGTACAAGGATAGACTTGATGATAAGACAAACGAACCTGAGACAGTGGAGTTTGAGGAGATCTCTAGAAGAGATGTGTTAAAACCCCAAGATATGAATGTCCAGTTGACACCACCTATAGAGATGCTAACCCAAATTCCAGCGAGGAGGTCTGCAAGAACTATTAGCCCTATTCAATTTCAGTTGGTCTTTGTACTTGAGGATGAAGGCAGAGTCACCGCGACTTGGTATTTGTCTCCAAGTGGGAGATTGATAGAGGTGAAGACATTTTAATTTTACTTCTTAGAGAATAAGGTCGACAGTTCATAGAGAAGGAGATAAAGTTTAATTTTACTTCTTAGAGAATAAGAAAAACATTCAATGGCTAGTCAAACAAGTAATACTATTAAACAAGCAAGAAGAGAAAGCCTATTGAATGGTGAAAATCATGTTTGACTTTTCATCTTTCGAAAATGAGAAATGCGCGATGTATTTTGTTAAGTGACCAGCAATACACAGCTATACAAACCGCCTTACAACAATTATAAATAAGCTTGGATGTGTTTCATTCATAGTGTATGTTCTATGAGTTGTGTTGAAATATTTGAGCACTAAGTGAGGATTTGAGAAAGATAAAGTTTGTTATCGAGAGAAAGAGATAAAGTTTGAGATACTTTGTAACTCCTATTTGAAATTCATCTTGTAGTTCTATATTCATATTTTATAGTAAAGCCGCATTATTTAAGCGAAATCTTTGTGCCCAAGTTTTGCCATCTTTCATTATTCTCGACAATCATCTCGCAACATGTACACTTGTACCACAACAAGTATGTGCATGTGTAACCAATTTTATTTCCACATAATATTCTTGTATAACATGGACTTAGAATTTTGAGAAGCTCCCTACATGTACATAGTAATACTTCTTTTCCATCACATTAACACCCAACAAAAAAGCCATTACGATAAGGCATAGACCGGCATAAAAATATAAACATACATTCTAGAAGATTCAATTTTCTCTATGTAATTAACTTGAAAATCATAGTTCGGTGAGAGATAAACGATTAACAACAATAATGACAGTCAGCTCACTACAGTACCAAAAAAAAAAACTAAGCTTTGTTTCATAAATGTAGGTCGAGTACATAAACCTTTTTCGACACTTTGTTCATTCGTTGCTAGATCTACTAGACAAACTCATTGCAATTCAAAATCAACTTTGTCGCAAATGTTCACACGTGGAAGTGCTACTCTATGTGATAAATGTTCAAAAAGGCTAAATTGGGTAATAAGGCTTTCACCTATATTAGGTGAGAGACGTAAGCTTCAAGAAGAATTAATAAAATAATTCACAAGAATATAAAAATACAAAAATATGTACATAATAAACTATCTTAAAAAAAGATCTATGATAAAACAAAAGAATAAAATTAAAAGTTTAACTTGCCGATAAACATAAAAAACCCAATACAATAACAAATAATAAATTTTCAAATTACTAGTCTCCATCACTACTACAAGGATATTAAGGGCCTACTTGGGAGTTTTAGTGTTGCGGTTACGGACTTTTTTAAAGAGCCGATTTTGAGTGTGTATGAATGGATCGATTTTGAATGGTTTTAGTAGCGATTTTTAAAACAGATCAATTTATGCTTGGGAATTTATTATCAACCGATTCTAAAAGTCTTTAAAAAGAACAAAATTATATATATCCCTTAGAGAAATTTTCCATTCATGCTTTCTAATATGATATTTATTTTACTTATAAGTGATATTTTACATATAAGTAAATATTTAACTTTTTAAAGTTAAATATTTACTTGAAATTTTAAGTTAGTATTTTTTACTTACAAGTAAATTTTCCATTTATAAGTTACTTTTAAACAATTTTTACACATAAGTAAATTTTTACTTATAATTAATTTTTATATTATTAGTAGTGTTTTTACCTTATAAAAATTTTTTTATACAAAAGTTATTTTACTTATAAGTAATTTTTTAATTATATAGTAATTTGCTTATAAATAATTTTTAACATTAATGTATTTTTATTTACAAGTTAGTTTTGAATAAAATATGTTGATTGTAAATAATTATTTTATACATGGTAAAATTAGAAGATAATATGAGAAACGGTAAAAAACCACCGATTTGGTGGGTTGAGAGAAACGGTCAAAATTACACTACACCGATTTTGCGTGGTTTTTAAACCATCCGAAATATTCCATTCCCCTGTCATCATCATTACGATAAGTTTGTTCTCATTCTTTATAATCATCCTCCATCTGCAATGACGTCTTCTCCTTCCCCTTCCGTGTAAAGGCAAAAAAATAGAAAATGAAAAAATTTGTAGAACATTCTAGGTTATAAAATGGTCGGTAACTATCCAAAAAAGGCAAGACAAATGTGCGTACACAATAGTCACCACGAGACTTAGTTTTGAGGCGTAAGCCTCACTAAATCGAGGCTTAAGCCTCACAAATGGCATCTAAGGCACAAGTTTTGAGGCGTCTAATAAAAGCTTCAAGTGAAGCAAGAATTGAGGCGTAAGCCTTAGAAGGTTTTTGTAAACAATTTATGTGATGTTTTTGTCTAAGCGGAGTAATCAAACTGGTAACCATTCATAAGCATATACCATTCCAAATCTTTTTGGTGTTTCCATGTCGTCGTTGAAAAGAAATAGAGCCAATCTTTTTGAGATCATTTTACTTGAATAAACAAGATCAAGACAGAGCCACCGAAGACAAAGTTGAATCTAGAATCAAAAGGGGAACAACCACACCTTGAAGTATGGATAATACATCTAACAAGCCAACTAAACCATATCCCAAAAAGTTGAACATCTTTTCTGGGCTAAAATAATAATGCAAACGATTACATTTGGTGCATGGGAGATATTTTACCCAAAAAAAATGAAAAAAAAATAGTCAAATAAATGACATCACCGATTCACCAGTTAAACTACATTTTTCCTCGTCCACAGCAACCACAAATATTATCGAAATTGAAGAAGATCTCTGAACTACATGCTCATATAACCTCTTGTAAATTTAAAAGAAAAATAGAGATGTCCATTCAATTAACTTGACCAAGAAAATATAATGCATATAGAAAGCCAGGTGACTAAGGTGACAATAGTTCAAATGAATCATTGTCCTTTGAAGACTGTAAGAGCTATCAGCTTCCAAGTAATCCTAATTTCAATCTATATAATTTACATTCACAAGAGGCTAATGTCTCAATTATAGCACGCTACACTATCAAAATATTTATACTAACTGGTCGTTGAATGTTGGGGTAGAAAATATAGATACTGTATCTATAATCCGAAAGGCTCAGCAATGAAACGATGTACATTTTATACAGATAATGGCGTGTTATGCTTTGGAATCATCAATTTTCCATTTAACGCACATAAAAAAGACGTTTTCCATACCAAATGAAGCACGGAATCGAAACATAAATACAGAGAGCTAGAAAGCGAGATCGAATCGTACTCAGCAGGGGCGAAAGAGGAACGGAAGGGTTTGATAGGGTTGTTGGAGATGAGAGGGGCAGCGAAACGCCTTCCTTCGCGTCTCAAAGCAGCCATAGCCATAGTTGTACTCACAATTCTATTTGATCCGTTTGATCTTTGCTGATTTTGTAGGATTTTTCTTCACAGAGCCAGAAATGCTAGCTTATATAGGGCCTCCTTGGAGTTTTATTTTTACTGTTAAGAGGGGTTAAAAAATTTGGCACCACAGCTCAAAAATAGTAAAGTGTAATTTTGATGAGTTCTCTCGTATCATCAAATCGATGATTTTTGACCATTTATAAAATTCTATTCTAAGTTTACCCCTTATAAAATAATCATTTCCAACAAATATATTTTATTTAATATTAATTTATATATAAAAATATACTAATTAAAAAGATTATTTATAAGCAAAAGAATGATATTATAATTAAAAAACAACATATAAAATATCAAAAAGTTACTTATAAGAAAAAAATTTGCTTATGTATAAAAATTATTTAAAAGTACAAAATTAACTTATAATTATAAAGTTTATATATATTCTAAGAAATACTAACATAAAATTTTAAGTAAATATTTAACTTTATTTAATTTTTTAAGTTAAATATTAACTTATATGTAAAAAAAATTACATATAAGTAAAATTTCACTTATAGGTCAAAAATTTCGTACAAGAAACCATAAACTCAAAATTTCACCGAGGGACATATATTTAATTTTACTTTTTTATAACTTTCAGAATCGATGGATAATAAATTTTCAAGTATGGGTTGGACTGTTTTAAAAATCGCGACTAGAACCGGTCATAACTTGTCAACCCATAAATATTAAATGTTCAAAACCGATACTTTGAAAAACACTCATAATCGGTACGTCGGAACTCCCAAGCAAGCCCTTAGGGTTTTCAAATTGTTTAGTACTAACGAGATAGATCGTAGATGTCAAAAGAAATGGCGTCGCCCGTTCATACGACGTCGTTTCATTGTATGACATATACAAGCTAAAAATGGGAATAGTTCATGAACGGTCCCCCAACTTTCATTTATATTTTACCTTTAGTCACCAAAGTTTTAAATGTTAAAAACTAGTCTCTCTACTCAAACTCATGTTTCTAAATTCACCAAGTTACTTAACATCACCAAAAACTAAAGCGATGCCTACATTGAATGGCACAACAACTTACTCAATTTGTACTTGGAGAATTGCAGCCATGGTTCCAAACTTTTTTTTTTCTCATAGACTTTACCCAAGTTTTTATTTTGTGCCAACCATAATCCTAAACTTTTGAACTATTCGCACCAGAAAGAAAAATGGATGGTGAGTAATGGGCGGAGAGAAATCACGAAGAACCTTTGGAGAGTGGGGTAGGAGCTTCGACAAAGGTGCAAATTTTTTCATCTTCTTTTTGAAGGGGCAAGGCGGAATGGGGTGGGGTGGCGTGGGGGCGTATATTGTTTTGAATGGTTGGGGGTAGGTTTAGATAATTTCCCAAAAAAGAAATATATATATATATAGTGCTAGTTTGGTATTACTTATAAGCATTTATAAATAGTGGATCTATGAGTAATGTAGATAAAAAGTAAGTAGAAGTTGTGGATCTTACAAAATATTCAAATAAAATTGATGTTTGATCAAATTATAAGTTTGAAAAAACACTCTCAAACATTCTCGTAAAACTATTAAAAAAAATTTGTGTTGGTAGGTCCGATGTTGGCCTACCTAGAAATTGGGTTGTGTTAGATTTCAATAATTTTAGGTACGTTGGATAGGTTCGAAACACTCAAATAAAGGTATGTCATGGCTTAGTCTTCTCAAATTTGGGTCATGTTACACAGTTTGGTTATTTAAAAATTGTTTGAGCTACATTTTTTTAAAAACTCATTTTCAACTATACATTCTCCAATAAAATAATTTTACACGTAAATCGAAATTTTTTCTTACTTTTTAATAACACATTTTCCAAAAAATTACTAGTCAAAAATATTTTTTACCCCCCAAAATGGGACTTAAACAAGGGCTTAATGTTTATATCCTGTTTCACAATTGTCTGATTAAATGCTTATTCTTTTCTTCTTTATTAAAATATGTAGTAATAACCTTAAAACGAACGACTGAACGTGCTCCATTTTAATTTAATACATTTTTCACTTTCTTCATTTTCATCCACACATTTTTCAATAAATTAATATTACAAGTAAATATAAAAAATTTCTTACTTTATAACCGCACATTCTCCAAAAAAATTACTATTCTAAAATATATTTTTACCAAAATCACATTAAAATGGAACCCAAACAGGTTAAATTGAAAAAAGAATTGAGAAAAGGATGCTTAGTTCTATTAAAGTTTAAATACCATGAGTAGTACAGATTAAGGTTAATACCCTAAATAGTCACTAAATTTTGTTAAAAGTTCACAAGAAATCACCGAACTTTAAAACTTCTCTAATTAGTTATTGAACTTTGCAAAAAGTTCTTAGGAGGTTACTGACATTTTCCAAAACTACCCTAATTAGTCACTCAACTTTACAAAAAATTCCTAGGGGGTCACTAAATCATAGATGTATGGGGTCACAATTTGCAAAGTTCGATGACCTCCTAGGAAGTTTTAGCAAAGTTCAGTAACTATTTAGGGTAGTTTTGAAGTTCAGTGACCTTCTAGAAATTTTTTACAAAGTTCAGTGATAATTAGGGAAGTTTTGAAGTTCGATGACCTCTTGGGAACTTTTGTCAAAGTTCGATGACTATTTAAGGTATTAACTCGTACAGTTTATATCACTGGATCATTTCAATATGATTGTTTACTTAAGTTTTTAATTAAACCCCTATTTGGTCCCATTTTTTAAAACTCGTTTTTCATCAACTTCATTTTCAACAATATATTCTTTCAATAAAATAATTTTACACATGAACTTATAACTTTTTTCTACTTTTTGATTACACGTTTAAAAAAAAAAAAAAAAATCAATTTTCACGAAGTCTAGTTTGGTACAAATTCTTTAAAAATAATTTTCAATCACACATTCTCGAAAAAAAAGTCGCTTTTCACAAAATTTATTCTAAAAAAACCTACTTAATACACATCCAAAATTTATGCTAAAAAATCTCTATTAAACAATGACTAAGCAACAAATGTAATACGGCCATTTATTTAGTATTTGAGCAAAGTCGTCAAAATTTAGTCAAATTCCTTCTGCGTTTCAGGCACATTTTGAAGACACCATAGATTTCATAAAATTGCGTCCGAATCAATTCGTGAAAAACAAGCTCCAATCGCATTCTCATTGTTGAAGGCTGGGACTATTTTTGGTTAAGTTTAAATTCACTCGATCGAGTAGACGTTGGACCATTCGACAATGTCATTTACACTATGTTGAATACTTGAAAGGCATAGATGTTTTCTGCGCGATGAGGATGGTTTTGGTTATGATTCTAGGAGGATTAAATGCATTGTAGGTCACTCAACTTTTAGAAGAGCTATATCGGGATCACTCTTCTTTAATTTGATGCAATTAGGTCACCAAACTTTCATTTTCTTGCAAATCTGTTCACTCATACTTAGTTTGATATAATCTGGTAATCCAACTTTTATTTTTTCTTGCAAATCTAGTCATTTTGTCCATTGAAATAAGTTTAACTAACACAATATGTTGATCTGGATATTAAATTAATTGATAAATAACACGTAAGAATGTGCTTTTTGCTCATGCCTTTTAATTAAAAAGCATAATTTATAGAAGATTGATGTCTACTGTTGTGGGAGGTGAACGTCGACCATCCATTAATTTTTAACGTCCATGTCAACATGTTACATAATTTAAGCTGACGAGTAGAGGACATAATGACCAAATTTGTAAGGAAATCGAAATTTGGTAACTTGATTGTATCAAATTGAAGACGATGATCAGATTTACAAACAAATTGAAGTTGAGTGATCTAATTGCATCAAATTGAATATGAGTGACCTGAACGCAACTCCGCTCCCAGTAAAGTGACAAATAACTCCAAGGTTGTTAGGGCGGTCGAGATTAGCAAGTTTGATAGGTGAGTACTTGTTTTAGGTGAGAAAGGTTTACAGTTTGAATCAAATTCATGTGAGTGGTGCCTTGCAAATGGTTGTTCAAAATTGTACCAACTTTTGTTCTGGTAAATCAATCATAGCATTTGGTCTTAGCATCACAGACCTCTACGAGGTTACAAAAATGGATCTTAGCGGTGAAAATATTGAGCATATCTTCAGTCGAGGCAATAGGATTGTGTCCGACTGTTCTCGTACCTCGAAAGATGAATATAAACGAGATATGAGTGACGAAAAAAAAGATGAAGTCTTGGACTAATTTGCTGTCCTTCGTTCCACCAGTTCACAAGTCTTACACGGCTTTGTGCCTGCTAAAAAGTGGTAATAAGGTTGTGTCGGATTATGACGGTTGATTCTTATATAGTATGACTTGAGACATAAAGCTAGTAATAAGAACTTCGTTTTTCATGGTTAGCATCCTATTCCTTATAATCTAGATTCTCTAGGTTTAGTGATTCATATTATTTTCGAAAAGTCAAAAAAAGTTGTAGCATACAATAATAACTTCCTCGTATTTTTATAGGAAATAGACATGTACCACTATAGTCTACGTAATCATTTGAGAATGTTCATTGTTTTTTATTCCTTTTTGCTTGTTTGCAATCTTAATAGAGATTTACAAACTAATACAGTACTAATTCCATCCCAGGGAGATCGTTAGAAGAATTAGGTACATATATTTCTGTTGTAAAACAACCAAAATATCAAAATTGCTCCGATACCAATTGTTGTGAAACAAACCACCAGATTGAGATATTAAAGTTATATGACAAATAATAATAAAATATTTGATCAAATAAAAAAATAAAAAAGACAAGAATATGACAGATGAATTAAGAGATTTTACTGACTCAAGAATAATAAAGAAGAGAAATAATTACAATGAATCCTATAATTCTAGTAATCTATTTTCTCACCTTATAAAATTGTATAAAAGAGTCTAATATTTATAGGGAATAAATATGGGATGTCCAAACTCAACTAGTAGAATTGTT